AAAAAGGAAGGAAGGAAGGAAAGAGAGAGAAAGAAAGAAAGAGAGAAAGAAAGAGAAAGAAAGAAGAAAGAAGAAAAGAAAAAGAAAAAGGGGAAGGGGAAGGGGAAGGGGAAGGGGAAGGGGAAAGGGTCTCATCTTCAGGGTGGTGGGAGGCAGGGCCCACAGCCGGCTCTTCCACCCATTAGTCCAGTGTGCATCTGGGGCATCCAGTGCAGGCACTGCTCTTGGGAAACATGGGGAGAAGACAAACCCCCTCCCCATGGTGCTTAGATAAATAAGCCAACCGACCCTATGGAAGTGGGAGGACATTTCATATCCATGGATCACAAAAAGCTTTCCTGAGCTTACACTGAAAGTAGGAAACAGAACCCACTCTGTGAGGTCCAGAAGAGAGGGCCCAGTTGGTATAAATCAGGAGAGGACGGGGCAAGCCTTGCGGTAGGGAGCGAGCGGGCAGAGGGAGGTCCCAGAGCCACAGAGAGGCAGCTTGGAGAACTGTATGTTGGAGGGTGGGGGACACAGCACCTGTTTAAACCATCAGTCTGGTGCCATGTAGAGAAAGAATAGTTGCTCAGCACTAGGTAGAGAGGAGGGACCAGGGAGGCAACTACAGGAAGGAAGAAATGATCAGATTTGGGATGGCATTTTGAAGGAGGAGCCAAAGGACTTGTGGACTCTGGCCTTTTCTCACAACAGGGGAAAGGTGTGGAGACAAAAGGAAGAAGGCTGAGAACTCAGCTCCGGGGTCTCCAGCACTGAGAGGCTGGGAGGCCCAGCCCCCCTCAGGCCCTGTACATACAGCTGTCCCCTCTAGGCTTCAAGCACTGCGTTGTCCCAGGGGTAGAGTGCAGAGGGTGGGTCCACATGTGATAGATTCAGATCCATAATTATCCACTCTGAGGGTCAGCTCAGGAGCTTGATGCCTGGAGATTTCTATCTGGTGGGTCTGCAGTGGGACTCTGACTCAGAGAGCAGAGGCACAGAGCGTCCGACCGTGCCACCTGGTGTCTCAGACACATTCAGCCCCCGCCCCCGAAGCTAACTCCTCTTTCTTTGTGCCCAGGGTGATTCCGGGGGGCCTCCAGTCTGCTATCTCCCCAGAGGCAGCTGGTAGCAAAAAGTGGGAGTGGAGCGGCTGGGGCCTGGCAGCAGGAGCTGAGCGCAATCTGATCCGTCAAGGGAGCAGTGACTCTGGCAAGGCAGAGGCTGCAGACAAAGTGGATCTGGTGGCATGAGAGGGACAAGCCTGGATTGGGTGATTCAGTGCAGTCAGCCCTGGGAGGAGTCTTCAAGGAAGAAAGGTGGAGAAATGGGCAGTAGCTGGGGGAGATTTTTGCCATGCCTTGACGTGGGAGGCATGAGAGGGAGAGCAGGGGACACAGGAGCAGGGGAAAGGCCCTAGCGACCCAATGCTCAAGGATGGGCTGGCCCAGGGTGAGCCATCAGGGCAAGGGGGAGAGACTGGGCAGATCGGGGTGGGCAGATGTGGGGCCAAGAGGAGCGAGCTTCTCATTGCTTCATCTTCTCCATTTGATGAGAAGCAAGACAGCACACTGACAGGGAGGGGCCTGGGCTGGGGGAGTGGAGGCCAGGGGAGAGAGAGGGGTGACATGGTGCCGTCACTAAAGAATGCTCCCAAAGACATCCACATTCTCATCCCTGGAACCTGTGACTGTGTTATCTTACATGGCATAGAGGACTTTGCAGCTGGAGTGGAGACTCGAGATGGGAGATTATTCTGGAGTGTCTCAAAAGGCCCAACATCATCACAAAGTTCTTTATAAGGGAAGGCAGGAGGCAGGAGGGTCAGAGTCAGAGAAGGAGATATGACAACAGACACAGAGGTCACACTGACAGCTTTGAAGATGGAGAAAGAGACCACGAGCCCAGGAGTGCGGGCGGCCTCTAGAAGTTGGAAAAGGAAATTGAATCTCCTCTAGAGCCTCCAGAAGAAAACCCAACCCTGCTGACACCTTGATTTCAGACTTTTGACCTCTAGAACTGCAAGACAATAGACATCTGTGGTCTCAGCTGCCCAGTTGGTGGGGATTTGCTCCTGCAGCCCTGGCAAATTCATGCCCGGGGTCTTCTTGGGAGTGGAAAGTGCCTTCGCTATCTCAGATCCGCCCTCAGTGCTTCCCTCCTCGGAGTACCCACCCAGCTTGTTTGAGGGCAAGAGGAGGCCTGGCCCTCCAGACAATGGTCCCTGGCTACTCCAGGCCTCAGCCATCCATGCAGGTGAACCACCTGCTTGCCAACATCACGCTTGATTCTGGGCCAGTCTGGGAGAGATGGGAAGGACTCCAAGGGTCTCCTGGCCCTGACCCCTGGGAGCTCTGAGTAGGCAGAGGAAGTCCCAACATTAATGACTACTGTGGAGACAGAGGAAGCCACGTGTAACTTGGTGGGCCTGGTGGTGAATTCCACATTGAGTGAAAGGGTAGGTCTAAGATAGGCCCAGAAGAATGAGTGCAACTTAGATAGAGGAAAACAGGCAAGGCCAAGAACATGGAAGCCAACACTTATTAAGCACCTGCTTAATGCCAGGCATGGTGCTACATTTTCTACAGGAACCTTATGAAGTGGAGACTGTTAGCAAGCCCACTGCACAGGTGAGAAAACTTGGCTAAGGTCACACAGCACATGCAAGTGACAGAGTGAAGACTGCAACCAGTTCTGTCCTGCCCACAGTCTGAGCACTGAGTCACCCTGCAGCTCTGTCTCTCCTCAAAGCTGTTTTTGTGTGCTCCATGCAGGGAAGAGAAGAGAGCCACGGGATGGAGGCGGGGACCACAGCAGACGACTCAGCAGGAGATGAATCCTGATGGAATCTCACAGACAGGCAGTGGTGGCTGAAAGGCTCAGGAGATGTCCACCTCAGCGGTGTTCTCAGGCTGGGCAAGGAACTAGAGGGCACTGTGGATGTCCAGCAGGCAGGCAAAGTGTGCTGGCCCTGAGGCTCCAGGGACACGGCCTTCGCAAGAGAGGCTGATGGAGAACAAGGCTGGAAGGGAGCTGGACTAAGGACTTGTTGGCTGAGCTCCACCAGGGCTGGGCATTGGGCAGGCTCCCTGCTCCCCCTGGGGTACAGATGACTCTGTGAGGAGAAGGGGCTAGGCCACAGCCAGAAAGGAGGAACAATAAAGTATGTGGACGTGGACAGGAAACCAAGTAAGCCTGGAGCCGGCTCCCGCTGGGCAGGCAGATGGGCCGAGCTCCCTCCCACTACTCAGCTAGCCTGCCTGGTGATATCGAAAACAGTGCTGCCAATGAACCCTTCCCATGGGCCGGGGGATTCAGGGCTCAGACTAGGGGGCAGGAGAGACCTGGTGCTAGTTTTCAATCTATAGTTTTGCTAGCATTGTGGCCTTAGACAAGCATATTCATTTCCAAGGGCTTGCCATAACACACTGCCACCACCTTGGTGGCTTAGAAGCAACAGAAATGTATTCTCTCATAGTTCTGGAGGCCACAAATCTGAAGTCAGCGTGCTTCCAGGGACACACTACCTCCAAAGGCTCTAGGGGAGGACTCTCCCTTGGCTGTTCCGGCCTCTGGCAGCACAGGCATTCCTTGGCTCGTGGTGGCATCCCTGCCCTCTCCACGTCTGTCCGCACATGGCCATCTTCTCCATGTGTGTCTCTATGGCCTCTCCCCCTCTTTTAAGGACACCAGTCATTGAATTTAGGGCCCACCCTAAATCCAGGATGGGTTCACCTTGAGATTCTTAACTAATTACATCCGTAAAGATCCTATTTCCAAACAAGGTCACACTCTGAGGTTCCAAGTGGATGCTATCCTTCCAACCACCTCATGGAGGAGGCCTTGGAATCCTCACACAGCTGATGAGGACCCAGGCTCAGGAGGTGAAGAGAATATCCCAGGTCACAGGGCAGGCACATGTGGTGAAGCCATGTCTCTCATTCCAGGGTCCCGGCGCTTTCCTGTCTGCCCCACAGTGGTGTCTATGCAAAAGCTCAGCCCACAGATGTCAGCTCAGGAGGCTACAACCTGTGGGAGAGGTTGTGGAGGCAGGGTTGGCCTTGGAGTCACAACACCTGGGCCCAGGTTGTGCTGCCTCACTTAGACTAACCACTTTTCTTCCCTGGGCCTCAATTCAATGAACTTATGTACAGAATATATAAAGAGCTCCTAGAAGAAAAAGACAGACAACCCAACAGAAAAATGAGAGGAGAAAAAGGACTTGAAGGGAAACTTCATAGAAGATATCTAATAATAATAAACATACAAAAAATTTTAAGCCGAAAACCACTACACACTCACCAAAATGGCCAAAATCAGAAAAGATGAAAAGGAATAAATGTTGGTGAAAAAAGAAGCTCTCATCCTCTGCTAGAGGGAAGGCTGTTTGCCATCCTCTGCCACAGCTGAACACACAGACACACCTTTTTATCTAGCAACTCTACTCATGGGCTTCTATGTAATAAAATATATTCCTCTGTGCCCCAAAGACAAATACAAACATGTACATAGCACAGCTACTCATAATACCTCCAACTTGGAAACTACTCACATACTTATCCAGTGTAGAATTCAGTTCACACAACAGCACGCTATAGAGCAATGAGAAGGAACACACCATAACAACGTGTATAGTATGGACGAATCTCAGAAATACACTGTTACGACACGAAAGACTGCTGACTGTAAATTCCACTTACAGGAAGTTCAGAATACAAGGTGTTAAAAGTGAAGGTGTTGGTTACCCTTGGGTGTTAGTGATAACAAGGAGGCACATGGGTGCTTCTAGGGTGCTGGTCACATGTGTCAGTGTAGGAAAGTTCATCAAACTATATACTTATTAATTATGTACTCTCATGTGTATATATTATGCTTTAATAAAAAGTTTAAAATATATTTTAAAAATGCTGTTTGAGAATCCTTCCAGCAGATGTCCCTGCTGGGATGGGCTGGGGAAGGGGCTAGTCTAGAGGAGACTTCTGAGGGATGGAGCCCAGGAGGACACGCAGAGGAGAGGAAACAGGAAGTCCACGGGACTCCACAAAGAGAGCAGAGGCAACACAGAGACCCGTCCCAAGGGAAACTGAGGCCAAGAGAATATGCAAAGGAAGAGTGGAAATGACCTTACTCACTTTGCAGATGGACTTTCCTGTCGAGAAGTCCCCCACACACAGCATCTCCTCATGCACAGCGTAGGTCTCGCCTTGGCCAGTTCTTTGCCCATATAAGGTATTACAGAGTGCGTTCTCAATGAGGCCCACCTTGCCCTCCTGGAGATAGAAGGGTGGTGACAGTTGCACTGCAGAGACAAGGGGGAGGTCAGTGACATGCCCTGTAGGTTAACTAAGAAAGCTCAGGCTACTCTGAGCCCCTACTCTGCCTGACTGCTAACCACAACCCTCCAAACATAGGTTTTCTCAGAACTGCTGAGCTTTAAACGCTGCTTCACTCTGCTACCCATCCTTGATAAGCTTCTCTTATTTTTATCAAACCTTTGCACATAGTCATCCTATTCCCTCTACCTCTCTCATAGCAATAGAGCCACCTCTTACTCTACAAGAGGCAAATCCCACCAACACATGACTCATTTATCGGGACTTAGCAACTATTCACTGACCAACTTATCTTTTCATGAACCATCCCATCCATTCTCCCTCCATCTATCACTAACCTTTCTTCTCCACCCATCATCCCATCCACTCACTCACCCATTCCTCCATCTACCTATCTTCCCACACATGCCCATTCATCCACTCACTTTTCACACATTTGCCCATCCATCCATCCTTTCATCCATCTCTCCATCGAGCCCTCCATCACTCACCCACCTATCCTGCTCTCCACCTATTGACACATCCATCCACTTCATCTATCCCCTCTCACCAATCTTTCTATCTACACATCTATCCAAACATCCATCTACCAACTCAAATATCATCCATCCATCCATCCATCCACCCATCCATCCACTTATCCTTCCATCCATGCAGTAACCCATCCTTCTATCCATCCATTATCCATCCCTCCATCCATCCATCCACCCATTTACTAACCCAATCACTGATCTATTCACTCATCTATTCAGCTATCCTGGTGCTGTCTTTTACATGCTAATGATATAGATAATTTTTAGTAGAAAGTGACAGATTAAATGAAATAACAAATTTAAAAATATTTTAGATTAAGTGATATGAAGAAAATAAAACAGGAAGATGTGATAGAGGGGGTTGCCTATTTTAGCTCATATGATTAAGTAAAACCGAGAAAAAAAAAGCTGAATAGTAAATGCAAAGAAGTGATTCACGCAAAGATTAGAACGACAAGCAAGCTGAGAAAAATAAAAAACAAACAGCAGCTAAAGGCCCAAGATAGAAATAGCCTTGAGATATTCAAGGAGTACGAAGGAGGCCCAAGAGGATGGGGTGGGGTATGTGAAGGCTGCAGTAAAAGATGGGGTATGTAATGGCTGCAGTGAAAAATGAAGAATGGAAAGGGTGCATTGAAAGGTGGGATATGTCATTGACTGCAACAGGAGATGGGGTATGTGAAGGGGGCAGTTGAGATGGGGGATGTGAAGGGTGCAGTGGGAAGTGGGGGATGTGAAGGGCCCAGTGGAGATGGGGTGCAGTGGGAGGTGGGGGATGTGAAGGGTGCAGGGGGAGGTGGGGGATGTGAAGGGCC